CCGGAGACGAGAAAGTGATCTGGCTCAAGATTTTTTTTCCTTTTGAAAGATCAAGCTTCGCGGAGAAAGCGCGCTTGGCTCTCGTATCCTGTTAAGATCGTCGTGTAAAAAACGCTTACGCAGTAACCTAAGTAGAAATATATAGCATTTTTCTTAACATCCTTTTCCTCTCATTAATTAAGGACATCGTTTAAGTCTTATCGTAAATAAAGGGGCAAGTGGATGAAGAAGCTGTGTCACGTGTATAAATACGAGTCGAACGTTACTGTGGTAAAGTGAAAAAATTGGCGAGATAAAATTAATCATAATATTAATAACAGTATAATTGCGATAATATTAATTATATAATATTCATACAATTAATTGTAATGTATAGCATCGTGTGTATTATATAGTCTATAGTGTATAGTTTCGATAGAATTAAATCGATCGTAGCAACGTGGGCGTTGTTGATGCTTATTGGTGCTCATATCGAGTGTGAATCATACCAATGTGGAGTACACCAATGTACAATGTATCATTCTTGAACGTGGAACATACAAAGAAACGTATACTCATCCGGATCCGAATTTAAATATTCGTTTAATATTAATCTTGCAAATATCGTCGCAAATAAATTTGCAGGATTAACGGAGAATCTCGGGCTATAACAGATTATACAGGATATTATCTTATCTTTGTGTTATAAATAATTATTGCCACTTTGAGACACTCCGTGTTAAAGCTTGAAGAAGCCACTTATTCAAGAATGATTTAATATTCAATTATATCTCAATATTCCCTGCATTTAAACTTTATCGTTAATTATCTTAAGCTATCCGACATTGTCCAAGCTTCTTATATCTAAAACAGCTGAATTTAAATTATCACAAAGCATCAAGAAGATGAAATCTCCTTGAGGGAGAAGAGGGGGAAGTGGTGTCTAGGTTTTATGTAGTCTATATCTTCCGCAGGTTGCTGAAGTAACTATGCAAAATTTCGTCCAAATCAGTTAAAGGGTTTAGGAATTGATAGAGAATACAAACAGATGTTCTGTTTTATATATGTAGATTTCAATAAGCAATATATTAATTAAGTAACTTACTCAATTAAAGAATATGTGAGATTAACAAGCATTACATAATTGATACGGATGAATAGCACGACGAATCTTTCGTTTTTTTCGTTCATCTCTCGTTTTTATTCTCTTTTTATTTATGTTAGAAATTTCGATAGAGCATTCAAAAGAGGTAAAAAGGAAGAAATAAAAATAAAGATAGCAGTTGTGTGAACGTCAGGAGCAATTTAGATTCGACACAGGCGTAATAACAAAAACAAACAAAAATGAAAAAAAGCCGTTGGTAATTTCAAGGTGAAACTCGCGCCCTGAGCAGCATTGTTAGAGAAAATCAACACTTGCGAGACTAAATCGGCATTTGTATTTGTATATTCTTTCTTTGCGATCTCTGATTGAGAACATTATTAACCCTCCATATACACACTGGGGTCTCTGGGACCCCAGCACAACTTTCTTTTTTGTCGCGTTTCTTTTCTCTTTTAACCCGGAACTATTTATATCTCGGAACTCCTTAATTCTATCGACTTTTATTCATTATAGGCTTGTTCCTTAATCAATTCTCTATCGATAAAAAAAAAGGGGAATTGAAATATGTCAATTTTTTATAGAGTTACAATAACAAATATGGATGGGGTCCCCGAGATCCTAATGTGTATAGCACGTAGGCAAAATGTATACGGAGGGTTAATTACAATTGTTAATTACAAATTCGTATTCATGAACAGTTATTCGGCTATCAGAATCAATATTTCTTATTGTAGAGGAAACCGAGGCTAGAATTTTGAAGTTACAACTTCTCAGGTAACTAATTGTTGTGATTGATTGTATAAATATGATAAAGGCAACTTCTTTTTTTTATATTAATGTCCGCCACAATCCTGTTAATCGTACATTTTGTTTTGAAATAACTAAAATATAAGGTGATCAAATTTCCCAGCTCGAATTCGGGACATTTCATAAATGTGTGAAGCGGGGGTGGGGAAGAGGGGGGTTGAAAGACCCGAAAATGATTTGATAATTATTGAAAATAATGACAAATCAGTGTCCCAAAAAGCACTCGAAAAAATTCGGGATAAAGGGTGAAAAATCGGGATTGTCCCAAAAAAATCAGAACGTCTGGTCGCCTTATAAAATATGAACTTGCAACAATATAGCTTCCTTGCCCTGGTACCGAGTTCAGTTTCGCAAGATAAGAAAGGCCACGTATAAAATATGCATCTTGATTAGTAGTTTCAGAGTCTCCGCGAGAGATCTCCACAGTCCTCCTGTCGGCCTTTAATTATGGGCCTCTCTTACTTACTTAGATTCGCAATATGCTTTTTTTCAATCATTTTATGAATAAAAATTGCACTTATTATAAGAAACAGTATATCATATATTTGCAAGAAATTTCATTCTAGCTAACACATCGCTTAATTTTATTCAGTTATAATAGAGAATATTAATACAAAATTTTGAGAGGCTTGAAAATTGATTTTGCTATTACTAAATCAGTTTTTTTTAATTTCTTGACTGTAATATTATCCCGATTTTGATAAAACTCAGAGGAAAGTATTTATGTTTTAAAAAAATTATTTTGCGATCCACTATTCCTCTCAAGATAAATACTTAAAAAAAGCATATAAAAGCAACATACCTCTGGTCTCCCTTACAAAGTGTTACAGAGTAAAAAAGGAATAAAAAATTAATAAAATTATGATTATTTATTTATGAATATACTCTTAACGTAACTTCTAAATTTGAGGATATATCTTTATTCTCGACTGATTCGTCAAACGTGCGTTAAAATCGCCAACACTCTATGTAATAAATAATTTAACACATCTAGAAATATGTGATACATCGTTACCTACGTCCCTGCATCCTTCTTCCTCTGTTCTGATTGCCTCGTGGTTTCTAATGCTCACTGACACTCACGCAGATATGACTCGATCGAAAAAACGTGTGTTAACTAATGGCGATGCTAAGCAGATTCCGATTAAATGACCATAGTTAAGCAAGAATGATCCAACCTACAAAATTATGATTTTCGAGTTTTTCGTTTTATCAATGGGCAGTCCATATATCTTTCTTTTACAAAATCATTTTTTATAAAATAAAAAAGATCTAAGATTTATGATCACATTAAAAAACTGTTTTTATTCTCTACTAATTGCGCGATTTTTTTTACTAATTGCGTTCTTTTTACTCATTTTTTATGTCAAAGTTGTCTATAAATACACTTTGAATTAAAAAGCACTGAGTGCTAAGTGAACTCTTGCATGTAATTGGCGTATATTTTTAGGTTTTAAGATATTAAAAAGCTCACTGAATTCTTAGTCAGCGGTTATAGTACTAAATGCACCAAATAACTCGATCACGGATAAGTACGCGATACGCGTAAATACCAATTAATATCCTCGAGAAATCACTACAGTCAACGCTTTTGGAATACCAGATGTTTGAGATGGTCGAATCGAATTATTAAATTATCAAGAGGATTGTGCGCGTGATATAATTCGAAAGTTAATTACTTGTCGTTAGTTAACATGCGATTGTTTATCAATTAACAACACGATTGATTCGTATTTTCACGTAGAGTCATTGAGCGTTACACCACGCTAGATGGAATCGCCAGGAATTGACTTCAGGACGAATTACAAGACGCAGGGTGTGGCGGCAGACAATGCTTACACTAAGAAAGAAATACTTGAAAATTTGTTGGTGAAATATAAAGTCTATTTATGTAAAATAAAGTTCATGTAAATAATAAACTTTATATCTCACAAATAAATTTTAAGTATCTTTCCCTCAATGTGAAGATCCTTCTTTTCCACCTTTTGAGTCTAAATCTGAGAGTCTGATCGAAATTTCTAACGTCAGTAAAAATTAGTAATAAAGAGATTTTGTAAGAAGAACGTTTGTTATTTTTATTTACTATTAATCTTTAATAATCTTTATTAATATTTATTAATGTTTATTCATTTACCATTAATCTTCATTAGGTTATTATTTAATATTTGCTTATTGCATTATAGTCTATCTGCAATTGAATAAGTTACATAATTAATACATTGTTTGTTGAAATTAAGAAATCGAAAAAAAGGATAAGTGCAGGTAGACTATCGAGATAATCGAATATTAAATAATTCTTAAATAAGTATTGCTTTGTATTTCAGCAAAAGTAAGCGCTAAGTATTTGTGACATTTGTGGCTTTTAATTAATTCTCAGGAATTAGGTCTTCTCATTGAATCATCGGCTACGTTTTAAACCGTATGGAGGAAGAAAGAAAAGAGAAGGAATGTTCAAATCAAATGTATGAGGATCGTTCGAAAAGAAACGCGACCTAATGCAGAGATAGTGCGAATTTGACCAACCTTTATTACCGTATTTCAGTCTTTGCTTTGTTTGACAGTGCGTCAAAATGAACGCCGCAAATGTCTCTGTGTGTTCATTGTTTTGACTCTCTCCTTGTTTGGAATGAAATAATAGATCAAGGTGTCCTTGATGTTATGGGCAGACTTTTGCATGACGCATAACATATAAGGGAATTCAATCAACCACATTTTTTCATTTCCATTCTTAGAAAATGAAGGACTTTGATTGGTTGATACACTTATGTGTTATGCAAGTCTGTGATCAGGCTCTATGAATTGGTGCTAAAAAATCTTTCAGATTGCAGCGAATCGTGCTAAAAGTTGCGAGAAACAATGAAACTTCTTATATTCAGTTCAATCTTCGCTGATATAAACAAACGCAGGACTCATAGTTCGTGGCGTATACTTTGGCGCAATGTCAAAGTCTAACCGATAGATCGCTTCATGCTGTCACATTTAACTTAATAAAAAGAAAGCTCTAAAATTCTTGGATGAAGACAAGATAATCAGAAATATGGGTTAGGAAAAAAGACGGTTAAGATAATTTATCAATTCCTAAGGAAGATAGACAAACAATATAATAAAACCAGGGATAAAAAAGATTTTATTTTAGAAAAGTTGAAGACAAAATCATAAATCACATAGTTATAAATAACCTCGAGGAAAGCTGAAAGTTTAGTGGAATATCTACCAGAATTAGAAGAAAAAAAGCTCTAAAATATGTCAATATGGATTTGACTAAATTCGCACTATTTCTATATTAAGTCACGTATTTTTCGAACGACTCACGCATACATAGACATTTTCCATTGTTGCCTCAAGTTTGACGAAAGGCGACTCAAGGACAGATTAAACTCGGTATTCTCATCGCGCCGTTGACTTAACATCGTGGCAAGACAAAAAGGGTGGGACAACTTGCCGTCTACAGACATGACGCGCAACTCTCGTGAAAACATACCTCCTCATCCACGTGCCGCTTCATAAAGCATAAATTCGGTTACTCAACAATGCAAATACGAATGTCATCTTTGGTTTCCTCGCGATTCCGAAAGCGGACCTTGTCTCCCGTAACGTCGTGAAATCACCAGTTATACGCGAAAGAACGGATTACACACACGCTCGACGAGTCGCACTACGCGAGATGAGATTTATATTTGCATTCGTAACATTCATTCTTATCGGTACGCTCTATTTGCGTGGAAATGATAACGATGTACATTCATAACGAAATTGGAACAATTTGCAGGATGCGCGCGGCCTTGAATAAGAACGACCATATGCGATATATATATATCTATATATATATATATGTATGTGTATGATAGTTATGAAAGTCTCTGTTTCTCTCTCTCTCTCTCTCTCTCTCTCTCTCTCTCTCTCTCTCCTTGCCTCTCTCTTGCTTTCTTTCCTTTTTCTTCCAGCTTCTTTCTTGTTTTTTCTTCTATGTCTCTTGTCGTTGTCTACTAGAACTGCGACCCCTGATCCTGTACAAACAGAGTAGTACGAGTCTACTTAGGCTAACAGGCTCGCGGGCCACTTAAGACATCACACCGATTGTGCACAGTTATAGTCGACGAACTGGTCGGCGATTAAGGTAGAAGAGGATGATAGTACACAGGCTTGCGACTCTTCTCCATGACATAGAAGGCCTTGGGCTTGCCGTTTCCGGGACTCGGGAAGTTCTTGTGGATACTGGTGGGACCTGTCTTGGTGGCGATCGGCGCGTAATACGACATGGCGGCTTTCTTCCGATGTTTCTTTATCTTCGGCACGGTGTTCCCCGGCAAGCCGTGAAGCTCATTGGTCAACCGGATCTTGTGCATGCTCGAGTCGTCGAGCCTGTACGCCTTATTGGCGACATCGTTGCCGTTTCTGTTGGTCGGCTCGAAGAGTTTGCCGTTGGCTTCTTTGCTGTCGGAGTAACGGAGCCTCTTGTCGTTGTTCCTCACGTGCTTCGTCGCCGGCAATTTCTGATGCGAATGCAGCCTGTTGTCGGCGCCGTGGTAATCGTGATTCTTGCCGATGGTATCGAGAGGATAGAGCTTGCCCGGGGTCAGCTGCTGTCGTTTCTTCATGTCCTCGAACTTTCTCCTAGCCTGATCAATCCTCAGTTGATTCTGTAGACGCTTCTTCTCCGTTATCTTCTTGACTACCGGCAAGTTCCAGTGGTAGATCTTGTTCGGTTTACCGTTCCCATGGAATCCTAAAAACTCGTGCAACGTCAGATCGCCGGTCTTCGTTACCTTGTCGTCTTTCACGGGCGCTTTGTGCGGTTTTAAGAAGGTGTAGTACGGAGGACTGGCCGGAAGTTTCACAATGTAAACGTGGCTGTCCCGATGTCCATGACGACGGCTATAGGGCTGATGAATGCGTGTTTGCGAGCTGAATCCCGGTGGCTCGGGCCCGGCCAATCGCTTCTTGTGATGCCCATCGGGTATTTCGAGAGGTGACAGCCCAAGCCGGTTTAAAACGGCCGCGTTGCTCGTGTGAACGGTCTCGAAGTCGGAGGATATTTCCTCGGAAGTGGCCGCCGTGGCGAGCACGCCGGAGACTATCAGTATTAAGCCACCTAGAAGGTACGATCTGAAACAAAAATCATTATTGCTGTTAAGTCACCTAGAAAATGTGGTCTGAAATAAGATTATTATTGGCTGAAAATTCGTTATCTTTTTAACAAAAAATGAAACAAAAATATATATAGCGTCAATTCCGAACGATAGAAAGAGAGGGAGGACGAGAGAGAGAGAGAGAGGGAGGGAGAGGGAGAGAGGGAGAATTCATGATTGTACTCTCTAAATTTCCTCAAGTGAAATTTCTTTCGACATAAAGAGTCGAGTCACTCGAATTCAAGTGACTTTCCACTCATGGAGTGTATTCTGCATTCTAAATCATCGAGTGAATATTTTCAATGAAGAAATAATTAAAGAAGTCAATAAGAGCTAATGTTTGATAGCTTTGCACGTGACATCAATGTGGTGCCACCGGACGTCAAAGTGTTAACTATACTTTTTACTTTAGCGATTCCGAGAAATAGCGCTTTCATTATTGCTTCGAGTGAATTTTCACATCGCTTGAAGAAGATTTTACTGTAACTAGAGATGTGCAAATCAAAGATTTTTTTATGTCGAATCGAATCAAATCGAATCTCAGATTTTAATTTGGAATTCGAATCGAATCGAATCGATGAAATTTCACCCGAATCGAATCGAATGAAATCGAATCGAATTGTTAAAAGAATTTTTAATTAATATAATTATTGAATTCAATATGAAAATAATGACTTTAGTATGAGAGAGATAACACTGATTATGTGATATAAATTTCATTCATTTTAAAGTAAGAGATATATAATATATAGTCGGTAAACGTGTATGGAATATATATAGTTCTAGCCTTGAAAGCTTCGCAACGACATATCGATCCGACAGTTGTCGGTAAGAGTTTATCTAGAAGACATTGTCTTCTTTTAATATTTTTAAAGAAAATCTTAATATATAACAAACTTTTCAAGTCATGCTAATTCCTGTAAGGATTCCTGGGTGTCTTTAATAGTACTTCGTTAATGCTAGTGTGCGCGATTCGTATTCGTATCTTTTCGATTCGAAATTTTCGAATTATTCGGATTCGAATCGTGGGGGTTCGAATTCGAATCGAATCGAATTTCACTTGATTCAATTCGATTCGATTCGAATTCGAATATTTCGCACATTTCTAACTGTAAGCGATTTATGTTGCAATTCTAAGCAGAATCATAAGTCTCGTAAAATTTGTCAGAACTTATGAGTAAATTTACAAGTCTATGTAATATCATATGTTGTACAATTACTCGTAAATATCTACGATTTCATGTAATTTACGATATTTACAAGTGATTGTACGACATATGATATTGCATAGACTTGTAAATCTACTCATAAGTTCTGACGAATTTTACGAGAACAAGTTACGAGACTTAGGGCTGGTTTATCAATGCTCAGTCAAGTCAAATTTGACTAATAGTTAAGTGCTAACTGTAAGTTATGTGTTTATCAATGCGAGATAACTAACAGCTACACATTAACTGTTAGTCATAGTAGTTGTTAAAGTAACTGGCAGAATTTTTGTCTGTTAAACACATAACTATAACCACAGACTTTAGCGATTTGTCTTTGATAGAAGTCTCAGTAAGTAACGTAACCTCACTTTCGTGTGGATACGATGCGCTAAACGATGCGAGCATATGTCCACCGTTAATAGAAATATTTTGTACTCATTGACATGAACCCTTATAGAAATATCATACTAAGAATCATTGATAATTACTTATTTTCAGTATTAAAAATACTGGATAATAAGTAATTATCAATGATTCTTAGTATGATATTTCTATAAGAGAATTTAAGCAATTTCATTGACGATGACGAGGAAATCGTTGAATTTGTGGAATGGGAAAGAAAACCATACATAGTATAAAATAGAATCAATCACTTTGATAAATGGAACGAATTGGATTTTTTTCGAAGATTTCGGTCGAAGAAAGAAACAGTATTGATGATTCTAGAGCAAATAGAAAACATCATAGAAAATCCCATGGATAGGTATCTATATACAATTTAGTATTTACTATTAATTTGAAATATCAATTAACAAATATTTATTTTAGAAATCATGCTATTAGACCTATCGACAAGCTACTGTTAACTTTGAGATTCTATGCATTAGGCACAATGTTAATAGCAGCTGGAGATTTTGTAGGTGTTAATAAGAATTCTGCTTGCAATATAGTCAGACAAGTATCAATTTATATTATATTTTATTATATTATGACATTATAATATAATAATTATAATGTTTTACTGTCACAGTGTTTGCTTAATTTCATTATCTATATTATAATGATAATATAGATAATGATAATATATTATAATTTCTATATTTCATTATCAATATTATAATGTTTTACTGTCACAGTGTTTGCTTAATTTCATTGTTAGGTTATGTATATCATTCAAGTACGCACAAATCCATCTATCTATTGGTCTATTCTTTTTAGCTGCACACAGTGTGCACATAAGACACATAATACCAACCTACGTCAAAACGATAATAACTCAGTTATTTAACTAACAGTTAGTTAAATAACTATATTTATAGTCTATTTAATTAACTATACAGTTAGTTAAATAGACTATATTCCAAGTGCACACAGCGCAGCTAAAAAGAACAGCCCACATAATACCAACCTACGTCAAAACGATAATAATTCAGTTATTTAACTAACAGTTAGTTAAATAACTATATTTATAGTCTATTTAATTAACTATACAGTTAGTTAAATAGACTATATTCCAAGTGCACACAGTGCAGCTAAAAAGAACAGCCCACATAATACCAACCTACGTCAAAACGATAATAATTCAGTTATTTAACTAACAGTTAGTTAAATAACTATATTTATAGTCTATTTAATTAACTATACAGTTAGTTAAATAGACTATATTCCAAGTGCACACAGTGCAGCTAAAAAGAACAGCCCACATAATACCAACCTACGTCAAAACGATAATAATTCAGTTATTTAACTAACAGTTAGTTAAATAACTATATTTATAGTCTATTTAATTAACTATACAGTTAGTTAAATAGACTATATTCCAAGTGCACACAGCGCAGCTAAAAAGAACAGCCCACATAATACCAACCTACGTCAAAACGATAATAATTCAGTTATTTAACTAACAGTTAGTTAAATAACTATATTTATAGTCTATTTAATTAACTATACAGTTAGTTAAATAGACTATATTCCAAGTGCACACAGTGCAGCTAAAAAGAACAGCTCACATAATACCAACCTACGTCAAAACGATAATAACTCAGTTATTTAACTAACAGTTAGTTATCTAACTAACAGTCAATAATGTAGTGGATAAACGGATAGATAGTAACTGGAACAATAATTCTTAGCTATCTCTTAACTTTTAGTTACGTAGCAGTCACTTTTAGCTGAGCATTGATAAATCGATCCTTACGATTCTGCTTAAAATTGCAGCATTAGAAAGTAGGCTCACAACGATTCTTATGGTTACATCGAGACATCGTCGCGCGGCCTGGTGCACGTCGATGAGTACATTAATGTTACGTCGTTTTTCAAATCGAAGATAGCCGACTCGCATTACGAGCGTGCAGAAGAGTGCCTGGCATAGAGATGCTCGTTTAATGGCGCGCGGCTGATTAGGAAGAGGTGCTCGAGTGGAATTCCAACTGCGCTCGCAAACGCGTGGCGCGAGTGCGCTCGAGATTTAGATGAAAAAGAGGCAGAGTTACGCCGACTTAAGGAGCGATTCATCAAGAGTCTCACGCGGACCGGCCGGACCCGCCACAGAACCAACGGAAGAAGAAGTCGTCCAGCCGTGACCCCGAGAGGAGCGCCGGCGGTATAAGGAATTTGAAGGAAGGAACGCGCGTGAGCTCGACTCTTCAGCCACCTGGCCGCTCGTAAACTCGACCGTAGGCCGAAAAAGTCCGGCTGGGAAAAGGAATATGCGGCGAGCGTGGAAATGGCGACGACGACGACGACGAAGACGACGAAGACTCCTCACGAACGAGGCGCCTGGAAATTTTACGAGCCGAGAAGCCACGGGCGCAAAAACCCCCGGACGATGGATGGGTCGCGAGATCGCCTCCACTCCTACGAACTGAAGCGCGTATCGCGCTTTGGTGGCGCGGATCGTGCGATAAATCACCCCTGTGTGTGTACTTAATTACTCGCTACGTCCGAGGAGCAGTACTCGTTCGTTATTCGCGCCTGTTCTTTGCGTACTCGCGACGATAAAGTCAACGATGTTCCCAAGGCGACTCGCGTTTCGTATAAAGTTTTGTGATGTAAAACGTCGTTTTGATCCGGATAGACTTTCATGATTATCACGTAGTGAGATAATGGAAACTCTCTGCAATTTCTCTTTCATCCGATAGTCGTAATTATCTAAGGGCCGGTTTTTTTTCAATAGCAGTTATTGAGCATAGTTTAAACTTGAATTCAAGTTTAATCCATTAACGCCCAAATGTGCTGAAATTTTACATTGATTTGAGCCATTTACTTTACTGGAAATGAGGTCTGTTGTTTATAAAGAGTACCATTCTTACCAATTTCGATGTCGCCCTATCGAATAGCGTTGAGAAAATTAAAAAAATCGCAATTTATGCAAAATTTTTGCAAAATGAAATAAAAAACGCATGTTTTTAAAGCTAATTTTTTCTTCTTCCGCTATTTTCTCTATAAAAACGTGTTAGTATCGCTCGGGAAAGTGTTCCAAACGTAATTACTATGTAAATTACTATGTAATTTTGTAGTAATATTGACCCTAAAACAATTTCGATAACCAAATATAAACGAGAATTCAAATTAAAATTGACTTCAAATTGACCGCTATTTTGGTATCGCCATGTTTGTTGAAAAAAATACTTATAGCATATTTTTTTAATTAATATGTCGGGAACACGTTTAGATACTTTTCCGAGCGATACTAACACGTTTCTATAGAGAAAATAGCGGAAGAAGAAAAAATTAGCTCTAAAAACATGCGTTTTTTTATTTTATTTTG